AGCGTGTTCCTGGTGGGTTCCTCGGGCCGGCAGCTAAGCACCCCTCACCTCACAGCAGGAGAGGGGAGAGATTTGGAAGAACAAAAGCTGAAAAAACAGTGGATCAAAATAAAGACAGTTTAATAGGTGAAGCAAAGCTGCACACACAAGCAAAGCAAAATAAGGAATTTATTCGCTACTTCTCATTGGCAGCCCCCTTCCAGAAAGCAGGGCCTCAGCACGCCTAAGAGCTCCTTGGGAAGACACAAACCGTAACTACAAACGTTCTCCCTCCCTCGTTTCTCACAGATTTTAATGCCGAACGTGACATCGTACAGTGTGGAATACCCCTCGTAAGTTGAGCTCAGCTGTCCCGGCTGTGTCCCCTCCCAAGTTCTTGTACCCCCCCCAGTCCGCTCGCTGGTAGGGGGTGCGCGGGGGCAAAAAGAGAGACAAAAGAAAACCTCAGCACCGTGCAAGCGCTCCTTACCAGTGGCCAAAGTACTGGTGCATTACCAATGTTGTTTAGTCACAAAGCCAAAGCGTAGTATGGGCTGCTACGGAGAACATTAACTGTTAACAGCAATAAAGCCTGGCACACGTCCGCAAGCTGGCACAGCACATCAAGGCCTTGCAGTGACTCTGCACCCTGCGGGGGGGGGGGGGGGCCGAGGGCGATTGGCCGCCGGCCATAGGGACAGAACCCCGCTGAACACTACCAAAGGGGCACAGCACAGCGTGCCAGGTCAGACAGCACCTCCCTTCCGCCTGTCGGTTGTGGGGAACTGGCTGCCCCCTGATCCCGCTGGCTCACGAGTGGACACTGCCCTTGGTTTTCCAGCAGCAGCGCCAGGCAGGGCACCAATATTATATTAATGTATATACTGAGGCTTGGCAGCAGCTTTCCCTCCCTTTCTAGCCAGCTTTCCCTTAAATATAAGCGAGAACAAGCTCCACAGGTAACTCCAGCTGAGACCACAAGCCACTCTGCTCAGAAAAGCCCGTCACATCCCACACCCTCTCCTTACCTGCGGAAGAGAAACTCGCACAGCTCTCCTGCCTGTGAACTAATGTGACCGTGAGCCACAGCACACGAGAGGTTTCCTGGAGCACCGGCGGCCAGCAAGGCAGAGCTCAGGGGTGACTCGATGAAAGACACGTAGATAGAGGGCTCTATGTAAAAGGTCAGCACGCTTTTCGCTCACAGTTAAAAAGAAAAAAAACGAGACCAAACTGGAGTTCCAGGGAGCTTTTATTGAGTTTAATCAACAAAATCAGGATTTTACCATTCATCTTTTTTGCACTCGGAACTCATGAAGCTCTTCACAAGTCAGTGCTGCGACGCACATACAGCCAGAGAAAATACATTCTCAACAAAATCAAGAGCTCCACTGGAAGAATTTGCCAATTACCGATTTAACAGAAAGCCAATTTTCCCCTCCCTCCCCTGAATGTTTTCAAGGACTAATCCACATTGTTTGCTGGTTAACAGTAAAGAATACCAACCTCTTGACTAGGGACTGGTGGATTACGATATTCCACCTGAATTGCAAATAATTTCTTTTCTTGAAATAAAAGTTCCAGTTTCTTTCAAAAAAGGGAACAGTGACTATTTTCTTCTCCTGACACCCCTTCCCCATAATTATTGGTTAAAATACAGCAAGGCTGTATCTTAATAAGCCCGTCCCTCCCCCCACCCCTCCTTACCCTTCCCTAACTTGTCTACAGCAGAATTTAACAATGCTTCCACGTAGGGACGTTTTAGCAACACAACGGTGAACTGAGCAAAACCTATAGGATAATCTGCCAAAACCTCATTTTGAAGATCGGATGCATGCTCTTTGGTCCACAGACCTGGTGTATCATGAAGAGAAACTGCGATGCACAAAAGACGGACCAGAAGTTCACAGCAATCGGAAAACTCCCTGCACGTACTACTGTTGCCCACCCTTTACCATGGCAGCCGCACCGCTGGAGTTCCTGGGAACGAAATTTGCTCCATCCTCAGAAAGCAACAGCTGCTCGGCCCCAGCGGCATTACAAAGAAGTCCAGCACCAGGACAAGAGCCACTGCAACGGCAGCTCGGGAGACGTGGCACACCATCTCCGCAACCTCTAGAACAGAAACCGAGGCAGGACAGCCGTCTGCTCGGGTTTGTGTCCTATCGGTCTTTTGAAAAAAATAAAACCAAAAATTGAACGTGTGAAGCATTTTTAAATCCTTGGAGCAGACACCCTCCCCCATCCCAAGTAAAAATAAAGAACAAAAGATCAGAATGAGATGATTTGATACCAACATGTACGCAACATGAATTCATGTTGAGCTTCCCTGTTCTTACCCACAAAAAAAAAAGTCACAGAGGGCAAAGGAAAGATGCTCCCATCTCATTCTGGAAATTGAAACATGTACTTGAGACCGACCCACCCCCCTCCCTTTGGGAAAAGCCCTCCAGCAACTGTAGTGCGCTCCTGATGGTGCACACCCAGAGACCAGCCTCTAGTTTCGCTCAAGATTCGCGTCACCCTCTTCACAGCCACTTCACCCAGCTGTGAAGCTCCATTTCATCAGAATCACCGAGTGACGCTTTTAGACTTCCGAGGGGAAAAGTGCAGAATACATCAGATTCTTGTCCACATCACACCTTTGTCAGCGGAAGTATTTGACCTAGGGCTCATCGCTGAAGGCTCCAACTACCACGTAAATGTAAAGGCTGGTATGTCACCACAAAAACAGGAGCTTGCAAGCAATCTCAGGAAGCCAAGATTTATACACGCTCCTTACTCCTGGGTAGGGAAAAACACAATAACAAAAAAAAAACCCCAAAACAAAATTAAAAGAAAAAAAAAACCAAAACAAAAACAAACTAGGATTAACCTAGTCCTTTGGAGCATCTTTCCATTTGCAAGATCGCATCTGTTAGAGATAGCCTACCAGCACCAAAAATAGGCTGCTTCCTTCTTGACAAGAAGCCGCCTAAAAACGGTGCCCCCGATAGTTTAGGTAAGTGCCAATCCTCAGTTAGAGGCCAAGTTTAAAGTAATACTTTCAAGAGTTCTGTGCTTCAAGAGGGACCATCAACGCATGGCACCAGGCTAACCTACCACAAATCCAAGCAGAGCACGCTCGTTTGACTTGACGTCACTATCCTGTTCTTGTTACGTGTGCGTGCCCCGGCAAGATACAAAACTTTTATTTACATTTTCCACGTCTTTGTTGCACTAGTATGATCCCTCCTCTGTCTCTCTGGAAAATCATAAGCTGGCTGCAGTACAAGAGCAAGATTTTACTTTTGGTCAAAGTTACCACCCACAAACTCCCACCCCCCACCCTCAAAAAGCACCCCAAAATTGTTTACATTTAGTACCTGCCAGTCAGATGTAAGCTGTGTGGCTCACAGAGCATCTGTGACCAAGCTCTTGAGTTTGTACTCTAGTGCAGCATTTGCTACAATTATGGAGTCACCGCTGACAAAAGGAAAAAAAAAAAAAATCCCAAACACAAAAACCTTTCCATCTTGTAAAGTTGTTGTCAGGAGGCACCTGGCTTCTATTTACCATCCTCAAGGAAACGGACAGCTAAGTCCGCCTTGTATTTCCAAACAATTTTACTCGAATTTAAAAAAAAAGGGTCAAAATAGGGAGAAATTAAGACGATTAATTCCTGCTTCAAAGGTAAGCAAGCGTGGTGTGAGTGCAGCATCTGTATACGCAATAAACAACTGAGCAAAAGGGACTGCATTCGTCCAGGTGCCTCCTGACAGTGTTGGTGAACAGGCTAAAAGGGAATTTAAAAAGAGTACAGTTTTTGATTTGTCTCACTCCTTTTGCCTGTAGATCAGGCCAAACATCAAGCATGTTGGGAGGGGCACAATTTAAAGCAACACTACTTGACCAGAAAGCACTTTTCAGCAATATACAATGCAAAATGACAGACAGCAATTCATGCCAAAACAGAGGAGATGGCAAGCAGCTTTCTGCAGCTTCTGACGTTAACAGGGGTTTGCCCTTACCTGCTCACAAGTCTGTATAGAGGCCACTCTGGGCAGAAAATGCACAATGCTGCAGGAAGTACATCAATCCCACAAAGCTCCAGAACTGTCAGTTTATGCATGTAAATTGGTTTTCTGTGGTTTCTCTCAAACTCAAATCCACGCCTTACGCGTACACCGCTCAGCAACACTGATACTCGCTGGATTTCCCTCGCGCCATGGTGGAACACCGGTCATGGCCCCCTTCAGAGCTTGTCAAGTTCCTGAAGTTTCTAAGGGGGAAATCGAAGAGCATCTCCCAACAGGTTGCGCTACAGATTTTGAGGCCTCGTAGCCCCACAAGTGATCTCTTCCACACGAGCGGTACAGGACAGTGTTGCTAGCACCAGAGCAAACCCACCCTGACAAGGGACGCTTGTAGAGGCCTGCTCTTCACGGAGGTCAGAGCACTTCTCATTGTTTAGTGTTGCAGAAAACTGAGCCCCTCTCATCTTTAGCTGCTCCCATAATCAGTCTAATCCCTTTAACCCCAGCAATCTTCATCACAAAAGAAAAAGTTATATATGAACCCAAACAGAAAAAAAAATCATATTTACAAAGTTTGTACAATATACACATCTGATTTTCTATGGGACACACTGCACCAGAGGAAAGAGGGCCATGGCTCTGAAACAAGTCTACATATCAAGTGCTGTAACTACTAATGGAGACTCTTATGGAAACCAGTCTTTAGTGTTCTGCTAGAGCATAGGGCTTTTCTTATGGCTCCTGCAAAGGATGACAGGCTACTCTTTCCTTCTGGAGCTATGATGCTGCACCTAATCAGCCCAGATTTTAAGTTGGTTTCATTTTAAATACAGGTATTTACAGTGTGGGTGAACTGCAGATGCATATCAACTCCTCCAATTAAAAAAAAAAAAAAGTTGAAGAAAAAAGTAGTATTACCAATACGTTTCACCTCCCAGCCCTGGGCTTGAGTACTTGGGGAGGTGGAGAGGGGGAAGAGAGGGGAACTTTGACCTGAAACCAAAAACGGCTGTTGATTCCTTGGGCTGTGTCGGAAAGGTGATATTCTGAATGGTCTCATAGCATAAGGCACTTTGCACGAATAAGTAACAAGCTCTTTAGCTTAAAAACAGATGAGTAACCAGGGAGAAGTTGAAATGCACTCAGTCGATGGTTGAAGAATTTGAAATAGCAGACAAGCTCGTGTTCATCAAGATTCTTCTCTTTTCAGGGTTTCTCTTCTTCCCTTGCTGCCCCTCCCACCCAAAGAAAAAAATTTTAAAACCAGCAGTTAGTGCAACTAATGTTCAATCAGCACACAGTGCAAACAAGTGGAAAAACAAAAAGACATTCCTCCTTTTATCTTCTTTCTTCCTTGCTGCCAAATTTAAAAAGAAAAAAAGGCCGAGCTCTTTAGTCTTCATAGTTCCGAAATGAAAAGACGAAGAAAAACCCACAAAGAGAAGGGTATCCCCAAAGAAACGATGTGTCACAGATCTGGATCAAAGGGCTTCACCTTCTGGCATGTGTAATCAAAGCCTAAAAAAAACAAACCAAAAAAAAAAAAAAAAGAACAACCACAACACCCACAGTTAAATCAATTCTATGCAAAACCAGAACATAAGTAATGAATCACACTGACTATGTCGCAGCTCTAGAAAAGCAAAGGGCCTCTGGAACACCTTAACCACAGCTTTGCAGGAAGAGGTGCTGCTAACACCCTAATATACCTATGGAACATGACTACCTACTGGTTTCTTGTCCTTTAGGAAGCGGCAAACAGTTCTCGGCCAAGGTCACAGCATTCCCCTTAAGGAAGCCACCCAAGAGCCTTTTCCAAGTTCAAGTGGGATTTTTTTTTTTAATTTATTTATAAAACACAGAGAAAGCTCAGCCAGCAAAGCAGACGCTGCAAGTCAGCTTAGCATGCGTGACTGGCTAGGGCTATGCTTGAACAATTTCAAAGAAGGGACATAGGTTCATTTTAACCCTATCTAGCAGTCTGCTTCTACAGCCTTTTTTTTTGTGTGTGTCAGTCAACCGGGAAGAATTTCAGCAGCTTCATTGGGATTCTCTTTCTAATTCATGATCTCTGAGAAGAGGACACAAAAGATTGATTTCTAACCCTAACTGTACGGTGCCTGATCTTGCACGATACAGCATCTTAACTAAAACCAGATCAAACATCATCCCATAGCTATTTTCCTTGACTGCAACGCAGGGCGAGTCTTCTACTTATAAAAGGACTCGACTCAGCAGTTTTTCCTCAGATAACGATCAGAAAGGGCACACTTAGGAGTCTCCGACAGTGAAATCTCATTTTCTTGTAAAGCTACGTAGACGACCTCGAGTGGCAGCAAAGATGAATTACAGCTTTGCTGCCTACTTTGTTTACTTGCGAGAGTTCTATCAACCAAAGGATGCAAAAGATGCAGCACCTTTAGCTTGAACCTGTTCCTTCTAGCCGGTGAGGTGCTTAGGCTCTTCTGTCAGTGCTCTGTTCTCAAAGCTACACGTTTTCTCTCCTCACCTGTTTGAGGACCACCTTCCTCTCTGCCCCTCACCGGCTTCTCATTTTAGCTAAGCAATACAGAAAGAATTCCTTAGGCTACTAGTAGCCATCCCAGCCTCTCCAAAAACCATTCCTCATTCCCTCTTTCCCCCCGCCCCATTTTCCGTCTCCTTAGCATATGGTCAGCATTTGAATTAAAACAACTAAAAATTACTCATCCTCCCCTCCCAGCTTCAGCACATCCACAGAATTCCTTGCACTGACAGTCTATTTCAAACCCTTGTTTCCACATTCAGAGCCTCTTCAGCACATCACTTTCCCTCTTCCCCTGCAGTAAGATTCACACACCAGCTCTTCTTTCATCCAACACAACTTCTCTATTCAGGAAGGCATTTACTTACGCACATGTTTACTGTTTCTCATCTTCTACAGGTTCACTGTGGTATTCTGCCACATACAGGCTCTTGTCAATGTTGCTCGGTATGGGTTTAATTTCAGTTCCCAACTGCTCCTCAATACTTTTCAGGTTGAATCGATCATCATAGGTGATCAAGTTGATGGCCAGGCCAAGGTGACCAAAGCGACCTTAAAAAAAAAAAAACAAACCAAAAAACAACCAAACTGAGTAACTGAAGGCTGATTGGAAAAGTCTGCAGACTGTGGAGTTATTAACATCACACTGATGATAAAAGCAGATCCAGACCCTGCCACAGGTCTCTACAACTTTCACACGGGTTTTTGTTAAGAAGCTTCGTAGTGCTAGAGAAGTAAGAAAACCCGGGAGGTTCAAAATGCTCTGACCAAACCTCCTCATTAATTACCAACAAGAAGTCTTCCGCTACTGCATTATGCACGTCCATCCCTTCTTCAGTAACAGGAGTTCTTAAACAAGCCTGAACTACAAAGTTCAAGTACACCAAGTTCCTTTCTTAAGAGTATATTTTGACGATGTCCAGACATTAGAAGCATACCTTGGAGCGCATGCAGAAGAAAACTACGCTTAAGACATCACAGAAGCTAAGTTTTCAGTATAGAGTTCTCCTAAACTGCAAACAGGAGCATCAGTAAGTCTCCTGAGATTAAAGCAAAATACAGGGGTTTTTTCTCCCCCTCATTAGGCTGTCAGGCCAGTTTCAAGAGAACCACCCCTTATTCAGATATTTGTGAGGCTAACCACATCTGAGATGATACCCAAAACCAAATTTGTCAGGGGGAAAAAAAAAATAAAAAATCAAAAGCTACCTGAAATAATTCTCAGATACAGTAATAAATAACAGAAACAGAAATAAATAACAGAAATAACAGCAAAACCGCACCTAAAAGACGTTTTTTGTCTCACCTGATCTGCCAATACGATGGAGATAAGTCTCTGCCAGCTTTGGGAAATCAAAGTTTATCACCACATTCACAGCTTGGATATCAATACCTCGGGTAAACAGATCTGAAAGACAATCCAGGTCATGAAGAAAGTTAATTTCAATGAAATCAAATGCCGACGGTATCTAGGGTGGAAAGATTAACAATGATTAACACTGGCTTGCACTAGTTTCCAGATATAAGCTTCCTCTGTATCAAAGACAATTTAAATGCAATTCTGTTACGGCTTCTTCTTGCTCTTGATCCATTACAAACATGAATACAAGAACAACGACCAAAACAGCAGATCTGCACATCTATGCTGGAGAAGTGATTACCGCAAAGCTAGTTTTTTCCACCTTAAGACTATTTCTGAGCAGCATCTCCTCACACATGATTGTACATTGCCAATGTCACAACAGACTTGAGATCAGAACTACATCCCGCTAACTCAACTCTCTTTTGTTCTAGTGATTTTTGTTAAGACGACCTGGACACATGCAGTGATCAGCAGATGCTGCCGCGGTACTGCCCAAACAGGCCATACAATGGAGAATTCTGATCATACACAGGCCAATCAAAACTATAAAAATATTGAGAAAAGATGAGCTATAAACATTTAAAAGAATCAGCAAAACTTACTCAGGTGATCCTAACCACAGTTCTACCGATATTGCGTAAAGCCTACAGCCCAACAACTCAGAGAGCACTCACAAGTGAAAATACACAGAAAACATAACTAGTGCAGAAAATACTCTCACAGTAAACCAATTTGTTAGCAAGCTGCACCTTCATGGTTAGTCACAAAAGTTCACATGCCTAAAGGAGTGCTGCACCCTGCTACACGCAGGCCTGACAAAGACATCTTACCAAAGCATACTGGTTTATTGATCTATTTATTACACCTGGGCTAACGGCTAATCCCCTTTCTATCACAACCTTTAGAAACAGGAAAACAGTTACGAACTCTTACCAGTGCAAACAAGATTGCGGCATAAGCCGTTTCGGAAATCGTGAAACACACGATTGCGGTGCTCCTGGAAATAAATATATATATGTATTAAAAAAACAAGAGCAAAACATAGTGACAAAACCCAACAGCTGTGACTTTCAGGTGTTTTCAAGTTACAAACACTGAACTTCAATCACCTGAATTCCTCCCCCTCCTCATTAGAGAACAGCTGAGTCAAAGCTGCTAGTACATATTTTTTAGCACTCCTTGCCCATATATTCTAAAGAACTTACCAGAAGTAAGTTGGTACCACTTTTATGCAAAGACACTTAACTGACTGTGTTTTAAAGCCTCCTGCAGAGGCATCAAAGCCATCTCAGAATAGGAATATCTTAAGTTACAATGAGCATCAAGGAAGTTAAGCTTATATTTTGACTATCACCATCCCCCAGCCCCCTGCCAAATTCAATGCATGTTTTATTCATTCCCTTAAAAATCGGAAGTCAGCAGTAACTTCATTTTCTAGTATGGATTCAGTATTACGGGTGAGATGAGCCAATTGTCTGTGAAGACTCTCCTCTCACAAACAAGTCACTTTGGGCAATACAAAGATTAAGTAGTATCACTGTTAAGGAGCGAAGTTAACAGCGGGAGCGAACAAGTTGAAGGTTTCCACACAAACATACTAGATGATCTTTGTGGCAAAATGCAGGTGACTGATCAAAAGCATACAAAAATCAGACTTCAAGGAACCCATTTGTTGTTGTTGTTCTTAACACTGACACCACTTCTATTTCTCCTTGCTTTACTGGTCTGCATATGGCCCAGCAAACACCAGCATTACCTGTCAGTTCCGTGAACAGCAAGCTAGGTTTCCTCTAAAGCTTTCATTTGAATTTATTCTAGCTTACATATAAAATGAAAAAAATAAAGTACTACTGTTTTACATCCGTCACATCAACCTTCTGACAGCTTTTAGTATGCTCGCTGAAAACAAGGAAATTACAAGTATGAAGCTCGAGGACATATGGAGCTAACGTACAATTAACAGAAATCTCTGCATCAGCCAAGCATCACTGGCATTTTTCATCACCTACACCAAGGCCATGGGCACTCAGTTGCCTTACAGCAGTCGCGGGCTTTCTCCAAGAGGCTAGATCAAAGCCACTGCCCCGACTTCCCCGATTGCCCTGCAGTCACAGTGCAAGATTTACTGTTCGCCAAGCCACGCAGGGTGCTCAATCGGCCGAGTATTGGGGTTTCTGTTGTTTGTTTTAAATCACACTCATTTTCATCTGTCAGTTACACTGCATGGTCTACCGTGGCTCCCCATGCTGGCGAGAGCAAGGCAGCAGCAATAAGAACCGTGCCTTTGGGCCACGGTCTGTACTTACACCGAGCTAGAGCTAATTAACCTGACCTGAAGTACTCTTAAATACCAACTGACCAGCTACACTGAATAGTCTGGAAAGAAGGGCGGGGGCGCGTCTCAAAACCAAATTGATAGCAAAGCAATACACATTTCGGTTTTCAAAGAACATGCACATTTAAAGCAAGCGCGAGACTTAATTCAGCTACACGGTAACGCTCGGGGTGGCGTGAAATAAAACTGCCATAGACACATACTCACCTGCCTCATTTTAGCATGGATATAGAAGCAGGAATAGCCCAGCTGGGAGATCTTTTTGGCTAGCAATTCAACCCGTTGAGAGGAGTTGCAGAAAATGATCGACTGGTTAATCTGGAGCTGAACATATAAGTAGCATGCTCAGTAAATGCAGCATTTTAATAACAAATGATCCAAGACCTAAGTCTAAATCCCTTCCAGAAAGACAGCAAAGCAGGTATGCTGCTGGTAATTTACACACTCTATAATTTTCTACAAGAGGGGGAAAAAAATTAACAAAGTTCTGTAACACAAAGGTGCAGGACAAGAAGCTGTCTTTGCCGCCCTCAGCCTTACTCTCGTTTCCAAAAGGAAAAAAAGCTTCTGCACGTTCTTGACCCAGCCCTACTGCTTACCCTGGAAAACAGCGTATTGAGGCAGTGTACTTTCTGACGCTCAGTTACATAGGCGTAGTACTGGGTAACTCCCTTCAAGGTCAGCTCCTCCATCAGATTAATCTCATAGGGTTTCTGCAAATGGGAATTCTGAAAAACAAAGATAAGGATAAAGCAGGTATACCTACATGCAAAACAACCTAAGTACTGCCCACCCTCCGGCACATTTAACTTCCTCCGCAGCAAGGATGCACTACCTAGCCATTCGCTCTTCATGCTATACACAAAACAGACAGGGTGGGTAAATTTCATGAAGGATTACTTATAAATCCAAGGCGACTGAGCAGGCCAAACAGGAGCACTCTCTGGAGGCAAATCAGGGCAGACAGCACGTTAACTAATGTACAAAGAGGAAAATAGTACCTCATAGGCAAGAACTGCACGTAGCTAGCTTTCCCATTAACGCTACTGCGGGTCGAAAATTACTTTCAAACTTCTGTCCTAGATTTAGGCTCATTTAGATTAAACCAGTGAAGTCGGGATGCATTTTAAAAAAACCCGAGCTACGCGCTATTCATTCACACACTTCACGTGCAGTGTCGCCACCGTCACGAATGTCACTCACCATGAACTTCTGTACACTCAAAGGGAAAGTGGCCGAGTAGAGCAAAATCTGTCTGTTTTTAGGTAGCGTGAGAATAATGTCTTCCATTATTTGAACAAAATCTTGAGACAGCAACTTATCTGCCTGTAACAACACAAGTAATAAAGAGTTAGCTAAATTAATGGGGCAAGATTTCAGTCTTCTGGTAGCACCACATTTTGGGGGGGGCGGGGTGGTGGATGATGGGGACATAGGACCAAAGAAAGCCCCAGAACACCAGGAGCATTATCCCTGCCCTTATGATGGGACTGTCCCCTTTGGAGCATGCATCACGCTCCAAAAGATGTGTGATTTAGCTGCTGGAGACAGGATTCATCAGCAAAAGGAAGTTTACCCTCTCCTGGTTTTCAGCACTTTGATTTAAACAGAATCAAATTCAGGAAAAATAAATGGAATCTAAATTGAAAACAGTTATCAGGGTTCTGATCAGAGTCATCCAAGAGCTTTCGCACAACTATTTTCTCAACCCTTCACTCAGAAGCCTGTACTGTACTGGACATTCATATATCAGTTTTATATACAATTATGTGGTAAGCACAGCTTGCTCATTATAAAGTGAAACCAAATGAAATGCGTCCCTTCATTTCAGAATAGACTGTTAATCTATTCTTCAGGAACAGCAAAGATGACAGGAAAGGCAAATCTTCCCAGGTTCCTTTCTTAGAAGATTCACACGCAGAAAAATTCTTCTGCCAAAATACCTTCTCAAAAGTACTGAGAAATGGATGAGCTATAAACTCATAGTGTCTCTAAGCAAAGTTTGATTTGTTGCTGTGCATAACGGGGAGACTTGCTGAGACGCATTACTGCTTTAACTTGGTATTAATATCCCAAAATGCTTAACACGAGAAACTTGCCTCATCCAATACTATCATCTGGACATGCTCAACTTTTGCTACTCCTTTTTTGATGAGATCGAGAATCCTCCCAGGGGTAGCTATCACCACATGCACTGTAAGGTTAGAAGAAGGGGAGGGGGGAAAAAAATGGTTAAGGCAACTAAAACAACGTTTCTGGCATTCGCGTCCGTGTTTCACACAAACAGTTTGAGAATAACTGCAGCATACAAACAGCGAATAAGACATCGTAGTCTGTTCTGTAACAGACAAACAATAACAAGCAGAAATCCTACTGCCACACTGTAAAAGCCACCAACAAAAAGCAACTGTAGAGTAGCAAAAGTGCTCGGACCTGTATCATCAAGCCTCATTATGTCGTCTCGCAAATTGGTTCCTCCCGTTGTTGCCATCACTTTGGCACCTCCCATGTGTTTGCTGACCTGGATACAGATTTGACTGACCTGCAGGGCTAGTTCACGGGTGGGAACGATCACCATTGCTGAAAGTTAAAAGCGTCGGCATCAGTTACTAGTAACGCACTGTATCTTAAATAACAATCCTTAGAGGAGACAGAGACTTTATAAAAGCTATACTTCTACGATTTGGGAGTTCCACTCTGGATATCCTGAACAAAACCTAGAAACTGCTTACGACAAGGTAAATTCCCCGCAAGGGTTCTCCATCTGTTGACGTTCCCTCCACAGGAGTTCCCCAGTCGGCACGTTTGCCTGCTACTCCAAATCCGCTTCCCATGGCAAGACTGTAAAGTCCAGAAGACGTCCTCCATTTCAAGCTTATGAAAGCAACTGTGGGACTTTCAAAAATTCCACCTCCCCTCCACCACTCCCTATTAACTTTCTTTGAAAGCACGAGCAGATAACCTACGTTGCTCAATTTCATTGACCAGTTTGAGATTTGAGTCCGCTACGTAGCGACTGATACCATTACCTGGCTGCAGCTAAGCAAGATCCATCTCAACTGACCTTGTATATTGTCCTTCTTTAAGTCTAGTCGTTCAAGTAAAGGAATGAGGTAGGCTCCACTCTTGCCCGTTCCGTTTTTCGCTCTAGCCAAGATATCCCTACCAGATAAAGCAATGGGGATGCTCTCCTCCTGAAATGCAATGACAGACAGCGCATGAGCAATCGTAAGCCACGCTCACCAAAGAGGCCGGCCAAATTTAACTCTCCTTGCTAAGAGTACCACGTGAAATCCGACTGTTTCATGAACGTAATATCCTGCAACCGCAAGCATCGCAGACTCGCAAGAGGAAGGAGTTACGCCTATCAGTAAAGAGTTCCCCAACAAAGCAGTAGCTCTGCTCCCCATATCCCACTTAAAAGTCCTTGTCTTGCTTGGTCATAAGAGAACTGGTGATCAGGTACCACAGGAATGGTAAACCCACACTGATAAACTAGGAAAAAAGTGAAAAAGTAGGAAAAAAAGGGAAGAGACCACAACAGTCACTATCAAACTCCTCCTATGAAAAAAAATACCCACCCATATCTTAACATCAGAACCACCTCAGCCAACGTAATTCAAACCTGCATGCTCCTGTAACATACTTCTCATAAAACCAGCAGGCTTTCCTTGTGAAACTTCAGCCATTCGAACACAGGCCCCAAGGTTTTTTTTTTTGTTTACTACCTTTTACGTCAACATCTAAGGAACCCTCACAGCCTTTTGGAGACACGGCATGGTTAGAATCTGTTTTAAAGAGACAAATTACCTAAAAGCCGTGGCTTTCTCGTGCCTTAGGGAGACAGAGGGGCAGAGCTGTGTCAATGATAACCCTCCAAAGAGCAATTAAAAGAGAGTTCGACCTCCCCACCCCCCTGAAGTTTGCACATCAACAGTTCTTAATGGAACAATCCTTAAAAGTAAACTCACTATCACATTAACATCTCTCCCATAGTCTGTATTACGCTCCTTTTGGATGCTTACGATAAAAAAAGCTGAGACCGTGTGATAAAGCCATAGTTAACTTTGTAACAACTACAGGTATGCGGCCTATGGTAACTCAAGTTTTCCGGAAAATTTACAGAACAGCCCTGTTCTCGCTGGCGTTACTTATGCGAAGGATGTTACTGAACAGAGCATTAACGCGCTAATGCCTCCAGAGCAAAAGGAAAATCCGAGTTAACTTCTCCAAAGCCTCAGTTCCATCTCTAAGTCATCCAACGCATGACTTGGTGATTTAGTCGAGCGCTAGAAATTCTCGCCTTCCCCAAAGGGCCGCCCAAGTTCTACCGTTCACAACCCCTATTTTCCCAAATCATGACGTGAGTATCTGACATTTAAACATAAGAATTTCAGTAAATTTATAAAAATTAAATGCTGCTTGTAAGTAGTCTTGTTTGTAAACAACCTGAATAGGAGATGGTTTTTCCCAGCCCATTTCAAAAATTCCCATCAGCAACTCCCGTTTCAAACAGTAATCTTCAAACTCGTTTCCTTTTGTGGAGGTCACGTCCTGAATAATCAAAAAAAAAAAAAAAAGCACATCCATGAGATTAGGTCATACAACCCGCAGCTGTAGATTGGTCTGACTCAATGAGAGACTGCCTATGCAGGAAGGCCACAAAGCGCATTCCATTACTATACAGAAGCTCCCACTAATCTGTGCAATACCATAGAGTGGAGAAGGAAACATTAGCTTTCTCATAACCAAATACAGCACGGCGAACACACACTAACATCTTTCGATCTGCCTCGCAAGAGACACTGGCAATCAGTCCCACCCTGTAACACTAATAAAGTAAGAAATCCACAGTAAAGTGTTTCTGAGCTTTCCAAGAGAAGCATCTCTCCCCCAAGCAGTTGCAGAACAAATTAATTCTTCATTTAAAACAGCAAGAGCTGAACGGCTTTTAAATCATTGCTTAGGACAAATATTTTGCCACTGCAGCTTCTCCCGCATCTTTTATTTAATATTTATTCCTACAATTCAACCATCCTTACCGAAGTTTTGATTCTCAAATCCTTTGGAGGGAGTTTTAAAGTCTTCTTCCAGTCATCACCAGGTCTACAGCAAAAATAAAATACAAATAATTTTTTTTAAAAATCTGGTTTAATAATTTCATTTTGCATTTTTATTTTCTTCAATACAGCGATGAACATGTAATGTTTTCAGCTCCTGAAAGCTTAAAGCGCCTACACATATCAGCTTAAGTCCTCTCTGAGCTAAGCAGGATGCAACAGGCAGGAAACCGTATACAGAGAAAATCAGCAGTCTGCCAAGCACACAGAGAATTTGTGAAATCTTTATCCAGTCATGATTCAAGTCCCATTTTTAGGGCACTGAATCAATCCAGTAGAACACAGATTTAAAACTCAGCACTGACTTAGTCATATGACAGAAACTGGCTATAATAAATCCACACAAGAATACTTCATCGCTTAAAAGGAAAAAAGAAAAAAAAAAAAAAAAAGAAAAATATCTTGCCCAGGGAACATCCATTCTTAATTCATGAGTAATGCGAGAAGATAAAAAACACTTTCAGGGAGAAAATTAAGCAAGCACACACTCCATTTGTTGATCAAATGTTGCCTTTTGCTTTCAGTGAGATTTAGACATTCATGTTCTCTCGAAAGCCCCTGTACAGAGGAGAGTAAGTCCTTCTCTTCCCCAATCTCAAGAAGTTCTGAGTGAATTTTGAGAAGTCATCAGTTTTGTTACAGTAACTCAATTAATTTAAAAAGTTAGAAAAAAAAGTGGGGGAGGGGGAACGAGTTAAGCAAACTTTAGGATCCTGACCATTCCATTACACACTCTGACACCAGCCGGCATTTCTTTTGCAAGTAATCGAGTAACAAAATAAAGTGAATGTTGTTCAGGGGGAGGAGCAACCATGGGGGAAAAAAAAAGAAAAGGAACACATTACCGTACCATCCAAGTCTTTTATATTTTTCAGAATTTCCAACCGGCACACACACGTTTTATTAGCATACTTCCAAAACCAGTTTGATGGTAGGAGGGTATCACAGTGGTACCATATTATCTCAGCTCAGGTTTTGATAAATTAAAGCCGGAGCGTTACACTGAGGACAGCAAGCGCTACTATTTAAGACCAATGACAGAAGATAAGCGACTTTAAAGAATTTCTCGCCATGAGAAAGAACAACAACAAACAACTGAAAAGCATACACAACTGCACTGAGACTAGGTGGCGTTTCCTCCTCTGTCTTAAATTTCAGTTCGGTTCCTTCCCACTCCCCAACTTCCCTCTCATACGGCTCGCAATGAGCAAAGAAAACAGGATGCTGCTGCTGTTGCTGCTTAGCGGGCTACCTCTGGCAAGCGGCTACACATTCTGAAAAGCAAAGCATCAAATTTGATTTTTCACAGCAAACCCATTGCAAAGATCATCGTTGGAGAAGCTCGCACACAGAAATACAGCCTCCTTTTCATAACGCGCATCACAGGACGCTTCTAACCACGGGTGTCACGAAACGACAGAAGAAAACTTTTTAAACGTGGGAACCCAAGAACGCTTTCCCGTACATGACTTTCGATCGTTATTTTTGTGGCAGCTGATACAAACACTTACTTAATAGCGGTGGTCATACTCTGTGCTTGCTGTTGAGTGCCGTTATTGATTGTGTTGGCATTTTTCAGCTGGTTCATCTGTTGCTGAGTTTGTGTGCCTCCACCTCCTGGGCCCCCGCTGGGTTTTACAGGGCCCCTCAACTGCCCGTTCTGACTGGATAGACCCATTATAACAGGGTTCTCTGTTCTGGCCGTGCTCATGTTTTTATTTTTAAAGATGTCTTTTTAGACTTCAAAACTTTGAAAGTCAGTACAGAAACTGTAATAACAGTTTATTAGACTCTCCAAAACGAAGAGATAAATAAGTCTTGCTCAATATATGAGTCCTTTATTGCAATGCAGGCAAGCACCTGTAAGTCACTCAAAAGTAAAGTAGTAACTTGCTCTGATGCACTGTGGATCAACTTTTTTTTAAAAAAAGCCCTCTAACAAAGTTGAGTTATATCAGAATTCACTTGCTTCAATCTGAAAGAGAAGCAGACGAAAAGAATTAGTATGTGGATTTTTGTCTACGTCAACCACATCAGTTTACCTTTGTATTTTAAGAATCGCTTCTTCCCAGGCAGCGTGCGGCGACAGTACTCGCTTTTCTGTTTTCTTGGCGATAATTATCAAGACGCGTGTCCAACTTCCCTCCCCCCCTTCCTATAAAGCTGCACCCACCACCTTCAAGTCACCAAAGATAATTTTCTAAAGAGCTGTAGTTTCAGCGACCTTCCAGTGAGTAACCGCTTGAAAAATACTACCTGCCGCCCCCCGTACAGTAAGCGTGAATTGTATCAATTGCTTTCCTGGATCTTGAAATTCCCCCACTTCTGGGACACGGCAAAGCAGCCCTAAAACGCTGCGCAATAACGATATGCACAAGTTTGTGACAGGAAGCAAGACCACAATATCAAGTGGACGTTCCAGTTAGAACTGACAAAACCCCTAAGTTACTCTCATCACCCTTTTTCACTTTGAAAGGGAAACAGAAATTATGTTATCTTTTATTAAAAAAAAACAAAAACAAAACAAAAAAAACCTCTACACAAACAAAACACCCCCCAGCTTACCCTCCTCCAACCCCAAAAGTTAGTTCAACCAGCTTACTCAAACACCATTCAGAATAGCGAAACTAACGATATCATCGAGCTGAACTGACAGTAGCTTCCTGTTTTGTTAAGTCCAAGTGACCGAGCCTAAAACTGAAGCAGTGAGTAATATACATTTACACTAGCTATCTAGCTTCCTGCTTACAGGTTCTGTGTGACGTTACCTTCCAGCTGTCAGTAACAACTCATATTGCACTCAAAAGATAACATTTGGTACACATGACTTAATATCGACACCGTATTTAACAGAAAGGTTGGCAAAACTGTAAAGAGATAATGCAAAGTCTACACCTCCCATAAAATAAGCATGGCCCAGAGCTGAAAAACTCCTTACGATGATGCTAGAGAGCCAAGACATTCCTAGTCTGAAAGCTTTCAAAGGAACAGAAAACAGGCTCGCCTGTACACATTCTCATCGCAACGCATCCGTATCTTGGAAAAACGCAAAGGAAAAACCAGCAGGCTACCGCTTCCTAACTTCAACGTCCACAAAAAACCGCGCGTTTCCCCAGTGAATAAAAGGCCCGTTCAAGAGGATGGAAAAGGAATTCAGACTCTTCCCAGCTGTTCGCAAGCATGTCAATCCTAGCTTCACAGCAAAACTTTAAAGTTTGAAGAACTAGGATTCTTCTGCTAGTTATCTCCCTGACTGGAACTACTGTTTCAGGGCATCTTTTAAGAGAGAGATCTCCTACCCGTTAGCTTTGTAAAAACCGGACGAGACA